TGCTGATGTCACACCTGAAAGAGCTTTTCCCACGGCTGTAAAATAGCAAGGAAGTTCCTGCTGGGTTGGATTGCTTCTCCAGTCAGTGCATCAACCACTGTGCAAGGGATCACATAGTACATACACAGGATGATAGAAGAAGGTCTCCTGTGGTACATACATAGGATTCAGAGTAGGTACTAGAAAAATCTTTATCACCATTAGGGTGGTCAGGCATTGCAATAGATTGCCCAGGGAGGTGGTGGAGTCACCATCCATGGAAGTGTTTTAAGAGGCTTCTTGATCCGGTGCTGGAAGATTTAGGGTTTAGGGGTTACAGCAGTGACAAGTTAACAGTTGGACTTGGTGACCTTAGAGGTCTCTTCCAACTCTGATTCTATGTTTCTACAGACATACACATTAAAAAGTAATGGTAGAAAGGAGCTTATCTTAGACTGTGTAAGAACTTCATCATGGTGAAGTGATAAGGGGAATTTTTTAGGCTAGAAAGAGAAAATTCTTCCATTTTAAGTTTATACTATGTGTGTTTCAAATCTTTAGTAAAGCTAGGATTGAAAATGGGGATAGCTTCTTGTTCCTTATGCAGTGTGTTCTTTTCTAATCAGGCAGAATACCCCTAAACATGGGTGAAATGTGTGTTTAACACTGGATTTTTGTTGTATGTTAAATAAACCAGGGTATGTGGCTCTACTAAGCATCAGGAAGCTTTCTGTCCTTGTTGTGCTGCAACTTTTGTAATTCCAGATGATTCTGATAAAAAAGCAGAACACTTTGTTCAGTAGCTCTTAATGGTCTGCTGCAGGGAAATAAAAATTGAGCCTTTGCAGAGGACTGAATATTCAAACTCTTCTTCTGCCAGGTTCTCTGAATTGTCTGCCACAGCTGGAAGAGGCTCTTTGGCTTTGTGAAAGACAGAAGGTAGGAAGAAAGTCACAGAAAGAATAATGTTCTTGGCTTCTGGCCCCATTAATAGCATGGGTAAAACCTTCTAGGAAAAGTAGCACTGGGTATCTTGATGTGGTTCACGCTGCTCTTGGAATTGCAGGAAAACTGACGTAACCTGTTGGGCCATGTTAGTTGACCATACATGGACATTGGGTTTCAGATAGTTACACTTTGTTCTTCTGTGTGTTTTAATTTTCTCTCTAGTGCCATGTGCAACTAATTTATGTATTACTAATTCACATATTGAATTAATTTAAGGAAGTGGAATCATCTCAGGGATCAGGAGAAGGCTGCAGGACGGAACTGAAAATCGAGTTTGCAACAGTAACTTGCAAACATGAAACGATTTGCAAGTTGGGTTTGGGGACAGAAACATCAAACTTGGATGGTTATTTCTTTCTTGCTCTGCAGCAAGATGGGACAATGTGATTTTCGTATTCTTGGAGGTAACTAGTTAGGGAGATTCAGCCTCTCACTCCGTGTTGGCGTTGCTGTGGTCCATCCCAGCCAAACCTGGGGAATGTAGACGCACAGGAAATATCTCTTTTAAATTTAAATATAGTCAGCTTTCTAGACAAAACCCCAAATTTGAGTTAGTACCTGAAAAAAAAAGCTGTGGGTTAGTATCTGGCAGTTCATATTTTAGCCAAGGAAGAGTTCTCATATCCTGGAATGTGACCTGGCTCTTTGCATCCTGTCTGGTGTTTTCTTCCATCGATGTTCCGAATCTAAGGAAAAAGAAACTACTTGTGTTTAGACCTCACCTTCTTTGTATTAATCAGCTTCACATCCCTTGAGGTGGGAGGAATGCTGGGTTTTAGGAGGGGTGTGAAAGCATGGCTAATAAATCTGTTTTAAGTAGGATGGATGAGCAAATAAACTAAAAAAGTGTGTGAAGCCTGTTCCAAAGGGTTTGGCTTTGGAGTGAAATCTGCCAGTCTCATGGTAGGTGTGTTAACCTTGTCTGATCTAACTCTGGCTTGAGTACATCAATGTGAAATACTGCAAAGAAACCCTGCCAGTGGCCAGCTGTGCCTTGCAGCCAATACTGCTGCTGGCATCATTGTACCAGACCTGACAAATACAGGAAGCCTTTTCTATTTTTTTTTCCTTACTTTTTTCCCCCACCTTTCAAGTGAGGCAAGTGGAGACATGGCTGTGGTGACAAACCATTAATAAAGCAAAAGGAATGCAGCTGTAAAACTTTAAATAATGACATGTAGCAAATACATGTCAACATATTGGTTGTTGTGCCTGGAATGGAAATATTACTAGGAAAATACATAACTTCAAGCTACAGTCTGGCTGTTTTTCCTCAAGAAAACAGCATCAGTGTGACACTTAAACCCTGCTAAAGCTTAGGCTTTCAGATTCAGGTTAGATGAACGTGTCATTTATCTGGGGAAGGGGGTTTTGCTTTATATTGGTTTAAAATAGTTCCTATGAACATTGTTTTTTGAAAAATAATCTTTATATATGAATATATAGTTATGCAAACACAATAACTGTAGATAAATAAATACATGTGCAGCCAGAGTACTTGGTGGAGGTACAACTGGCTATTGACTAAAGTCTGTTTCCACTGAAAGCTGGTCACTCATGTGCTCTCACTGGTGTTCAGTGTTAGGCATTTTCAGTCCTTTTCTTAATCCCAAACAGTTAAGTAATGGTTCCAAAACTCACATGTTCTCTTCTTTCTTGTTAAACAAACAACCCCCCCAAAAACTTAAGTCATTTTGTCTCACTCCTTCCCATTCACCCACAAATCCCAGCACCTATGAATATTGTTTGTGGACTTAGATCTTTCTCAGAATCAAAACCTGATGCTGTGAAGTAATGAAAAAGAAAAGCCTTGGGAAGAAGCTCCAAAACTTCATAGGAAGAATGCATTGAGCAAAGCTTCTAGTCTGTTGGACAGATTTCTGTAGCCTATGTCATGGCTGGGTCAGAGCTTGGAGTGACTAAGCCAGGGAGACTTTCAGACGGTGCTGGATCAGAGCCTGATCCTGTGAGCTGCAGGAGTGTTTAGCCAGTGTCCTTATTCCATACTCCATGGGTGTATGCAGTGCAGGGTAGGTTATTCAGGGTGGTGGTGACAGCAGGACTAAACCACTACCAAACTCTGGGACAAAGCAGTGGATGCAGGCAGGAAATAGGATGTGAAACCTGACTGGATGTGCCATCCCCCCAACAGCTGTGTCTCAAGCCTCTTGAGAAGTTCTGTGCTGTAATTGAGTCTTGGATAAAAGGAGGGATTTCATTTACAGGTGGATGAAAATAGATTTCTTCTGTTTATATCTTGGTGAAGTGATGATTAGAGAAGTGGTGTTTTCATGTGAATAATAACACCAGAAAGAGCTGTGAGAGTTGTGCTAAATTTGGTACTGAATTAAATTAAAGTCCTGATCTTGAGCTGTATGGCTGGAGGTAACAGGGCAAGAAAAAAACCCATGTTGTTTCTGAAGAACAAATGCACTTTCAGCTTTCTGGTTCTACTTACGAGGATGTGAAGGGGCCTGTGTGATAACAATGAAAGGATAGATGTCATTCAGTCTGTGTGGGCACTGCCATCGCTTCTAAATCACACAAGTGGTTCCTCTTCAGGAGCTGGAGGAGCAAGTCCTGGTCAGGCTGATGTTTATGGTCGTCAAGTGACTGTGCAGCTGATGGGACTGCGATGAGCTCTGGAAGAAGATGATGAAAGTGAAGACAGTGTATTTCAGCTGAACTATCAATTTAGTTGTTAAGCTAAAAAAGAAATTAAAAGGAGACATAAATTTTAAGCCTAGCAGCACCTGGGGGCTGAGCAGATACAGGATGTAAGGTTTGCAGGTCTGTGGAACCGCATGCTCCAACCCTGGTGAGGTTGGCTCAGCCCTTCGTCCCTGCTGGAACCGATGAATTAAACTTGTTTATGGCTCTGTAGTCAAGTACTCCATGAGAATACTAGATCCTGCAACACTTTTCCTGGGAGCTGGGATATCCCTGTTGCTCTCTGCCAAAAAATTCCTCTTTCTGTACTCTGGTGGCCTTGTGGCGGCTGATTGCCAGGTGCTGTTACCAGCCACCTGTAACAGCATATTTTGTTTCTAACTTGAATTTGGGATGTATATGAAATTATTCAGGAGGACTTTGGGATTCTCTGGCATGAGGGGTACTAAGGAGCCAGCTCAGCACTGGACATGTGAGGTTGCTTTGCTTAGGAGCTCTTGTGCAGGAGTCCAGATAAACTCTGAGATGAGATCATCCGTGTTATTCTCTCAAGCTGGATTATTGCCCCATAAACCAGCACTGTGGTGCCCTTCGTGCTGAATGCAGTCCTGTTCTTATACAGCAGCTTCTCATGGTTTTAGTGATGCTTACATATCACATCAGTTAGCTGTGAATGAAGGAGTGTGCTGGAAGTGATGTGTGATTTTTCACAAGTCCTTAAGTGAGATCATGATCTTCAGTTGTCCTCTGTCTAGCACAGGGTGTTCAGAGCATGGGGATGTGCTGTCCCTCCTGCTTCAGCAGAAACCTTAATCCTTTGGGTGGCAATTAAGTGGAAGTCAGGTGTCTGCTCTTCGTGTTGCAGTGCCAGTTCACACTGTTTACAGGGCCCTAGAAAGAAACTGAAGGTGTTTGGGTTTAAACTGTAGCTGCAGAGTGAAATTGCTGTAATGTCTTTACCACACGGGTGATGTAGAGCTGTGGTAGCAAACAGGATGCAGATTTTTCAGAACAGAGCAAATCTCCCTCAAACTGTCTCAGAACTTGCCTATTTCAGCAGTTGAGGGCTGGGGATTGTAATGATGGGAAAGTGTGAAAACCTGACTAGTTGGTTTTTGGAAGTCTTGCATGCAAACTTGACTTTCTGTGCTCTTGCTCAAACAGTTAAAACCTCCATCCAGACTCTTGAGTTCCCATGTGCATCCTGGTCCAGAAGCAGGTGTGCTGCTTAGGTTGCTACCACCTTAATGGCAAAAGGTACCTTCTGAAGCACACATGTGTTTTGCAGGGTCTTTAACTGAAGTTTCTCTTGCAGGAAGTCCGTTGAGGAAAATTCTCCATGAATGTACGTCACAATGATGATGACCGACCAAATTCCGCTGGAGCTGCCGCCGTTGCTGAACGGGGAGGTCGCCATGATGCCTCACATTGTGAATGGCGACGGATCTCAGCAGGTCAGTGAGCTTGGCACAACTTGGCTGGCTTAAATAAACTATTTCTGGGCCAACTAGGGATTTTAAAGATGCTTTTGCTTAGCACTAGGGAGTGTGGAGTATTTCCTGGGATGCAGAAATCTGCCTTTACACTGAGAAGACATTAAAAACAGTGCTTTGAGTGTGCCAGTAAATGTAATGTGTTTATTTGCATCTGTGTTCATTGAAGTGCAAGTAATGGGATTGAAACAGTGGCTGTAAATGCTGCATATTTGAGGGCTTTGCAGAAAGTTAGTCTCATGATTTACTTGTGCTAACTCTTGTCCAGACATCTTACTAGTACCTGTGGTGAGCTTTTAAGATCTTAAAAATGCCCAGATTGGAAGGAAATGGATAATTGAGAAGAGTCTCATGATGTCTGCTGTTCTTTGCCTACCTGAATGTACTGATCCCAGCAGGCCTGTGTACTACCCTGTGCTTCATTATGAGAAGCAGGCATGAGTTTTGAGTGGGCTCTTGAAGGAAGGCAAGTTTATGGCTGCTTTGATATTTTTCTGAGAGATATTCTCTAATAAATTTGATCACAAGTTGGTAGAATGTTCATAAGACCATAACAATGCCTTCATATTGGGATACAGCCTGAAGGTTCAAGCTGGTATGTGGTAGGTTCCCAAACATGTTGTCTGGGGTTAAGGTTTTTCTTTATAGAACATCTACCCTAGCAGTTTTTCTGTGTTACTCAGTTTGGTTCCCTCCTGATGTGAGACATTTCAGCAAAGCATTTTAACGAAGGTATAAGCAAGCTGTCCTTCATGAATCAATGTAAAATGTCATTCTGTTACTTCTCATTCCCTTGAGCATTTGTTCCTCCTTCCAAGCTGTGTTCTCAGCTTGACCAACCTCAAGAGGAAGAATAATTTCTGCTTTCCTTTTAAGCTTCTAAGCCTGGTTATCTGAGTTCTCATTGTGATGTAGATTTTTCATTGCTGTGATTCTTTCTTTGTTAATTTGAAGTAATTTCTGCACAGTGTGCTTTGACTTGACAAAAAACAGAAGAAAGGTTTTAATGGTTGTATTTACCAAGTCCAATATTAATATGCTTAAGTGAAAGAACAATCTTATTGATACTAGATAGGATAATTGTTCATTAAATACACCCTTTCCTCCTGGCTGGAAGCCATTTATCAGGTCAGACTGTCCTGTAGGTCCTTCTGTATTACAGATAATAAGTGAAGTTCTGAGCCTTACTTTCAGATGGGGCTCCAAGCCCAATCTTTCAGTTTCCCCATCCCTGATGATTCAGCAGCCTTGCTGGGTGTATGCCTCCATTGCCTTTAAAGTAGTTTCTCTGCTAATGTTTTGCAGTGCAGAGAATTGCTGGCACACTGTAAGCACATTGCTTCTTGCTTTAACTGCTATGCAAATGTGACTCAGCAGAACAGTTCTGGGCCAGGTTCCTCTTATGCATAAATACTTGCTGGATGATGCTTTTAGAGCTCATCACCTTATCTTTGTAAGTACTTGTAGCTGGAATACCAGTTTTCTGTGAAACTTTTTTTTGACCTCTAGTATGGATGTTCTCTGATCTCTTCCAAAGCTTAACTACCTTTATGCTTCACAATTTTCATCCTATTCCTTAAGCTTTAGTTGATGTCTTTGCTTTTTAAAAGTACAGTTCTAAAGTGGAATGAAATTGGAATAAATGCTTTGTTTGATCTTTGCAAATGGACTATGTTAATTTTTCTTAACATGATTTGTTATAAGGTAGCAGCAAATGTTAAGTGTTGGTTGAAAGAGATTTATCTTAGTTCCTTGTAAGGTGGGAACTGCCTTCAGGATAGATTCACATGGGAATGATTTCCTTAAGAAAGATGGTTTATATTACTCCATAAAAGGTGCTAGTTTTAGAAGGACATGTGCTTTTACAGGGTGTAATTACAGTCTCCATTAGAAGCTGGTGGCAAGAAAGCATCATAGCTGAGCTGGTGGGAGATGAGGCATGTGGAGTTTTCCAGGCTGCAGTGTGGCCAGCAGGCAGATCAGTGCCTCGTGCTTTGGAGCTGACACTATGGAGCTTCTGATGGGATGCTCTGGGCACACTTGCTGTTGCTCACCCTTACGTGTTACTGGATATGTGCAGCCTCAGCTGTGCCAGCACGATAGAGCTGTGCTGTGAGCTGTGCCTGGAAACGCTGAGCTCCAGAGAAAAGCCTTTTCTCAAAAGTCCTGTTCTTATACATGTAGAATAGAGCAGACTGTAGCTGGTGAAACACCTTGGCTTTGCCAGCAGCCAGCTGGAGAGTGATGCAAAAGGCAGTTTTGCCATTGAGCAGTGAGTGTAAGACAATTGCAGGGCAGCATTCAGCTCTTTCATCTTCCTGAGGGTAAGTGCTGCAGAGCTGTACAGGGCAGGGCTAGGAATGTCTCTGCCTGCTTGACAGTAATCCCTCTTCTCTAGACTACCCTAAATGGCATTTCTAGCACTGATTTTTATTTTTTTTCCCAGTTTCCCACACTTTATTTGCACTACTGCTGACTGTATTTAATGCTTTCATGTCCCTTCCAGAGCTCCTGCTTACTCTGTTTCTGCTTCTAATCCACTTGTAACTCCTTTGAGGATTTGGGGAGTGATAATTAACCTTTTGGTCCAAGAATTTCAATGGTTTCCTGTAGGTACTCCACTGCAAGCTCTAAAAAGCTTGGAGTATAAAGTGGAGGAGCAGTTAGCTGTGCTACAGCACATCTGCATGGAACGTTGGGTGATTTAGTTTGGGAAGTTTTATTTCAGCTTGGTTCCCTCACTGCACCTGAAGTGGTGTAGGAAGGTTTCTGCTTGCCTGCTCTTTTTGAAGGTGTGTTTACCAACTCTGCATGTTCACCATTTGGCTCGAGCTCAGGCACTGCACACAGTGCTGTGTGTGCTTGTTCTTGTCTTTTAGGGTAACACACTTGGAATCAGGGAAATGAGTACATGTAAATGAGGAACAAGATTTGGTACCTTCCTGTAGCACAAAAAGTCTATGTACCTTGCAAGCATATAGCTGGGTTTTGTGCTGTACCTGAGCAGCAGCTGAGCTGAGTGAGTGAACTTCCTGTCTAAATTTAGAGTTCCTTCTTCATGTGTTTTATTACAAAAGTATTAATTTTTAAAAGCCACTGTTTTATTGCTTAAGATGTAGTGTGTTCCCTGTTTTTTCTTACTGAAAAGAGCATGGAAGTATTTATCCTACCTGCTCCTGTGTGGCTGAGGAGGAATGTCTCCTGAAGAGAGTATTGTACACAGAATGGTGTGAGTTCTTTGGCCCTTCTTGTGTGATGGAGCTGGAAATTAATCAGGATCTGGGGCACAGCCTTTAAAAGTAGAATACAGAATGGATCCAAGCAGTTGTTTTGCTTTTGGGGGTTTTTGTTCTTTGTTGGGTTTTTTCTCCCCAAAGATGCAATGTATTCCAAAAGTTATGTACTGCAGAAATTGTAAATACTGTAAATTTTAATGACTTAAAGCATTTATGAGGGACTTGTGGCTTGATCCCAGGTGGTGCCTATGACGCTGTGCTCCCCAGCTGTATGAAGCATGATACATCGAAACAGGGAAGGGAAAATCCACCGCACCGGAAAATGCTTAAGGCAGGGTTTTAATAAGCCAGAGCAGTCAAAGGGGCTGTTTGACCTTAGCAAATGTTCTCATAAAGGGGAAATATTTGAAAGCAAGCTCTGGGACTGTATTGCATCACACAGATGCTAGTGAATGTCATCCTACTTGCTGCTGCATCCGCACGCACAAAGCAGTTGGGGAATGATGGTTTGCCTTGAGGGTGAGCTTAGAAACACTTGCATAAGTGAACTGATGCTATATAAAATATGTACAAGCATATGCCCATGGTCCTTAGGTAGTATTTCTGTCTTTGAGGCTGCTTACCCACAGTATATTTAGTTTTATATCACAGAATGGTTTGGGTTGGAGAGACCTTTGAGATTATCTAATTCCACCCCCTGCCATGGGCAGAGACATCTTCCACTAGTCAGGTTGGTCCAAGCCATGTCCAACTTGGCCTTGAGCACTTCCAGAGATGGGACAGCCAGAGCTTCTCTGGGCAACCTGTGCCAGTTCCTCACCACCCTCACAGGGAAGAAATTTTTCCTGATATCTAATCTAAACTTACCCTTTGGCAGTTTATTTATTCCTGAACCTGAGCTTTAAGCCTGTGTTGGCTTTTTGGCCAGGTTCATTACCTTCTTTCCCTGCCCCCAGTAGGGACAAGAGTCAGACGGTGGAAAGAAGGAGGACGCAAGTGACACATGCTTGGCTTGTCCTGAAAACTTAGTCTGGGTGTACTCTGTGATTACAAATATTTATAGTAACTATGCAGCTTAGTAACATTCATCACTCTTAACAGACATGACTTTCAGTAAAACATAATGACCTTCTTAAATGCAAAATACATGCAAAAAGTGCATTATGGAGATAACAAGCTTCCTCTGAGGATGCAGCAGGTAAGGCTGGGCTTCAGCTCTGAGTGGATTAAACTGTTAAATTAAACATCAGAGTACTTTTTAGGGAAAAATAAAAGCCTTTGGGACTGTGCTGCCGACGCCCTGCTCACAGCTGTCACAAGCTCCAGCTTTTTGGATGGGAGGAGGCCAAGGCCTGAAACTGGGCTAGAGTGACCTCTGACCTCAGACTGCACCCTTGAGATGCTGCTGGCCAGCACTGTGGGCTCCAAGTGACTCCTCAAGTTCTCTCTCCTCTGTTGCCATCTCAGAAACGTGCACACTCAGGGTGATGAATATTGGCAAAGGGATAGGGCAATTAAGGATCATCTGGACATGTTTTCTTTAAAATAGAGATGTTATCTTTACACTTTTTTTTATTGCTTTCCTCAGATTTTTAATTAAAAGGTGTTCTCATGTAGATCCTATGTGTGAAAGGAAAGAAAATCTGCATTCCAGGCTTCAGAATATGGGCTTGTTGTTTATGAGGATGTGGGGAAAAATAAGTCTTGGAATTAGTTTTATATACTTTGTGTGTATAAACAAAAAAGTCGCAGTGCACCTTGACATTGGCAACGGGGACAACTCAGGGGCGTTGGCTGGAAGATGCCCAATATATCATACTGGATGTGTGCTGGCTGTAATGGTTTGGCCTCAGCTCTGCAGCTCATTGGCGAGTGCTTTGCAAAGCTTTCGAGGTTATGTGCAGCATGGGGTGAGTGCAGAGGGGGTTGGGTGGTGGGGTGGGTTATGGGGGCAAACCCCAGCCCCCCAGCTTTGGGAGAGAAGAGCTGAGGCTGGGGATAACTTGCAGCCTGCTGGAAGGGTCTGTCTGCAAGTGTGGGGTCTTGCCTGAGGAGCCTGAGGCCACTTTGGTTAGCTCCTGTCCTTGTGTCCTGACCGTCCTCCCTTTGCCTCCCTTTGCCCCCAGCGCTTGCCCTAGTGTTGATCCATATCAGTCACACTTTAGGTATTCCTGTTGGCTCTTTATATGGCTGCCCATAAATGGCAACAGCCCCTAAATGTTTTCTTCTGCTCCAAAGGTGATTAATTTGAGCATTTGTCAATAGGAAGTTATTTCCATATATATTACATGTTAATAGAAGCTCTACTTTGCCCATGGGCTTGTGAAAGGGGGCCAAAGCTGTGATGGGTGCTGCCCTACAGGAAACAAATTTGTCGTTGGAACAATTTGTTTGTGTTGAAAAATCTGTGTGATTAGGCAAGGATAATGCTACTTCATTTTGGTCATCATAAGCAATAGCTGCTATTTGGGATATCATCTCTTTTTTAATGTGGAAACCCAAGGAATTATTTTCAAAGCACAACTGCAGGGATGCTAACACAGACACTTGGGATGGTGATGGACTCTTTGGACAGGAATCTGTAAGTCGTGTCCTTCTGATAAATCTGAGGTAGGCACATGCCCTGTGTAGTCAGAGAAATCCCTCTCTCCCAATCACTCTTATATCTACCATTAAACTCAGCTCCCTGGTTGTGGGAAGAAATGGAGTTTTTCATACATGACATTTGAGTCTAGTTAAGGTCTGTGTTTTGGGGAGCTGGACCAAGTACTTGCAAAGGTGTAATGGTGTGTGAGGGCATCTGATTTATGCTAGTCAGATGTGTTAATAAGTAACTACCTTTAGAACTGTTGGTTTAGACATACAGTGCAAGTGAGCTGATGAAATATTTGTATAATTCTTTGCCTCTTTATGTTCAGGTTACTGGTTTGGGGTTTTTGTTTGTTTGGGGTTTTTTAAGCTGGATGACATTGCTTTGCTCTGCTCTTCTTTTGACCTGATGCCCATGTCCTGTTGTGGATAATTCACGCCTATTCATAGCAAAAGAGCACTTAAATGCTGTCACTTAAATGCTGATTGTTCGGAGATTAGGGATGGAATGGCTTTGTGCCTCCTATCTTTTCTGAACCATTTATTGTGCTCTGTATGCTGGATCAGATCCACCCTGATCAGTGCTCCCCGAGAAATGATTGTTGCAGACAACATAATGGCTTTCATATGTAATTTCTCTGATTTCCAGCTTGTGCTTTTAAAATGTTGCTGGAATAATGGGTTTCTATAGGATTACTGTAATTCAAGAGGTCACCTAGGTAATAATTATCTTATGCATTTGGCTGAAGGAATTCAGAAACTCAACATTAATTCAAATTCTGTCTTTCCAAATTGAGTGATTAAGTTCTGCATGGACATGTCCCAGAATATAAAGACCAGACCTAAATTTAGAGAGAGTTTTCACAGAAAGATATAAATTAGATTTTCAATTTATACCAAGATGAATGTAGATTGTGCTTGAACTTCTGCAATGCCAAGTTAACAGAAGTGTGTTTAAAGTATTTCAGTAAAAGTTTCATAACCAGCAAGATGGGATAAATGGTCAATACTTCCCAGTGAAATTGTCCATTAAAGAAAGAATCTAAATCATTAATTTTAAACCCATAATTTCAGATTCTTGAAAGTTAATAAAGGTAAGTACAACATACCCTGAGATGTGTCCTGGTGCTTCCTGGTCTTTGTGGTGTTCCCATCATCTGCAGGATTCAGCAAAGGGAGTCTGGGGTGATCTTTTTATTATTTAAAATAATGTTATATTTGCTAAGAAGTAAATAGTTTATTACTGGTTCTGTGAGCAAATCTTGAACTGTGTGTATATCTGCGAATTATGTTTAACTGAGAAGTTCTGTGTAAAACTGAAGGATAAATTTTGAAAATGTAACATATCAACTTCCCTTACATGGTAGAAAACTTTCATTCCTATCAACTTGAAATCCCAGTATGGGTCGGCACTGTATGCTGGAGTTTGTTGTGTGTGCTCCCTGCTCTCATGTGCCAGTGGTCTAGAGATTTATGTCCTCACCTGTTGGCATTTGGCAAAGTTAAACACACTCCCAGGAGTTTGGTGTGGAACCCAAAGCCATAATTCTCACCTGTAGTTAACCAAGTCATGTCTTCATTTCAGCTCTTAAAACATAGATGAATAGGTGGACTTCAAATCTCTACCTGCTCCTGGAGTCTGCTGGTATCCACAGATGTAGCGTACCAGTCTGTTCCCTCCCTGTCCCTCATACCTCTTCCAGAGATGGGATAGCACAGTTGTGTTGGGGAGACTTTTGTTAGGAACTGTAGGACAAGGATTCATGGGGATAAATTGAAAGAGGGCAAATTTAGATTAGATATTGGGAAGAAATTTTTTCCTGTGAGGGTGGTGAGACATTGGCACAGGTTGCCCAGGGAGGCTGTGGCTGCCCCAACCCTGGCAGTGTTCAAAGTCAGGTTGGATGAAGCCTTGAGCAACCTGTTCTGGTGGGAGATGTCCCTGCCCAGGGCAGGGGGTTGAGACTAGATGCTCTCTAAGGTCCATTCCAACCCCTTAACATATTATGATACTACAAAATTCAGTTTTTGAATATCACAGTGAAGCAAATGTGGTTTTTGTCTTTTTTTTCCTTCTGCAGGTCTTTTTGGTTCAAGTTAATCCAGGTGAAACCTTTACAATAAGGGCTGAGGATGGAACCCTCCAGTGCATCCAAGGTAAGAGGATACACAACCATTTGGATGAGCATTTCTTGCAGCCTGGCACACCTGTTCTGGCACCTTACTAAAAACATGATATGCAGTTCTGAAAATACACTGAGGCATTTAGGAGTGAGAAGCTGCAGACGTGGCTGCTGGATGTATTCTAGGACTTGAATATCTCAGAATGAGTCATGAATTTCTTGGAAGTCCAGGAGATTTCTCTCCAGTATCTTGCAGTCTCTGTGCATCTTTTCTGTGCTCTTCCCCCACTTAAACAGTAGAGGAGTGGGTGGTTGTTGCTTGAAGTTTCATCCCCATGGAAATGATGAATTAAAAGCTGTTTGAGATAGACTTTACAGAAGCTTCCCTGAACACTATCCAGGATTATTTGGTCTTGATGAGCAATAATAACAGCAATTTAAAGCCGCTTGTTGAGATTTATAGCCAACATGCTGTGTGGTAAGAAATTGGTCCATGTGGCAATTAACGGAGGAATGAAGCTGGCTACTCCTTTTATTTGAAATGAGTGCTTTATTCTGGCTTAGTACATTAAAGATTTCCATTGCAAATATAATTATGACACCATTTATTTATAATTTTGTTCTTGTTCAAAGTGGTGTTCAGGCAGTGTATTTAAATGAACGCAACTTGAAACCTCCTGGTTCTGTGTTCCCAGTAATTTAACATGTTTGTGCCATTGGGGCTTGTTTGGTACTCATCAGCAGTCTTTCATAAAATTGATTTAGAATGTGTAGTATAAGATTGTCTCTTTTTTTTGAGCTAGAGCTGCAGTATTGACTGCCAAAGCACACATGTTTATTTGTGTACACCCTTTCAATTCAGCTTGAAAAGCCTTGATACTCTTTTCATGATAAAGCTTCAGATCCTACCTTACTGTAAAATATTTTTATTGCTGAAGCAAGTATATGCATCTAACACCAAAGAGCACCTGACTATATTGCTGTTGTGTTTCTTTTTCTTTTGGTAAAGCTGTTTGCACAGTGCAGTTGTGGAACTTAAATGATCTTAATAGTGATCTATTGCAGAATAAACTGTAATCAGCCAGCAAATACACTCAGATTGGGATTCAGGGCAGTTCTGTTTTTCCTCTGCTCTGAGGTTATTATAAAAGCAGGCTTATTTTGTGTGCAGTGTATTTGGAAAATACACCTCCCCCTTACTCCACAAAACTTGGTGTCTCTTTTTCCCCTGTGATGGAGTTTTTTGTGTGCTTAAAGGTTAATGTATTCCCTATATGTAGGGCAGAAGTCAGACAATAATGATGCCTTTCCCATTGCTCCCACGTTGCACTATGATTAGCAAGATACAGAATAACTTTAGGACTGTGTTAAGGCAGCATGAAAAGTCTCTTTTTGGGCAGTGCCTGTGAGCTGGTAGCTCCCTGTGGAACGAGCAATACTCACTTTTTCCTTACTGCCACGTATTCAGTGTTATGACATAAGATGTGCTTGTAAATATTCACAGTGTGAAGAACTGCCTTATTATAAACTGGGTGATTCTCCTGAGTTCAGGGAGTGAACACTGTTAATAAAAACTGGAGATGTCATGGCTTGGTTACACTAAATTCTTCAGGATACACGAAAGCTGCTCTTCCCTTTGGCATGGCTCCATTCTGCAGGGACAGATGACTTTGCTTACGTAGAGTGATGTTTTTTACTATAATTTTTTTTACATATGGCTTTTTGAGAAGTTTGAAATCATCAGGTTGTGCTCCTGGAGCCTGTTCTGGATGTCCTGAGAGTCACCACTTTGTGTCCAGGACTGTTTGCCTCCATGGCTGTGACATATCTGGGGATAGGTGGTGATGATGTGGGTCAGAGGACTAGGGAAAAACAGTAGAGAAAAAGAAGACTTAGTGAATCCTCATTTGTCTTCTCAAGGTTGGAAAGACAGGCATTTGTTGAGGAAAACCTCTGTGGAATATCCTCTGTTTTAAACACCCTGAAGTGTAATTAGCCACTAATTGAGTAATCACTGTTTAAAACCAGAAAGAAGAGAGTTGTGAAGAAATCCTAAATACAAGAAGTTTTTCCAGTTTCTCAGGGTTTCACCAGTAAGATAATCTGTGAAAACTAATAATAAAAATACCTCTAACTGAGAAACTATCCGTGAAATACTATAAAACTGTAATAAATGTGTACTTGTAATTGAAGGTGCAGTGTGTTACAGCAGGTGCTCTGTTCATTCCTGTTTTCTATTTGCATGTAGCTGGAGGTGACTTGTTTAAGACACTGATTTATAAGCCCCATAGATCACCGTGTGGGGCTGGATTAAGCAGCTCTCAGAAATGACAGTGACTGGGAGAAGTTCAGCTGGTCAGTGGACATGGAGAGAGGCTGTAGTTTCCTCAAGAGAAGAGATTTAAAGAAAATAAATTTGGTCTTTTGGAGAAATCCAGCCCCTGAGTTATTCAGGTTATTTAGGAAAACCATCTGAGCAGTTCCAGGTGCTCCCATGAGGACTTGTTTTGTTGGCTCAGTTTCTCGGGGTTTGCCTTCTCCATCCCACATGATAGAAGAGATGCTGTGGTATGTGACTTTTGTAGCCTTTAAAACAACAGCCAAAGAAAGGAATAAACAAAGAGGATGTTGGGGATTAATGGAGATTAATTTTTTAGTAGCTGCTGGAAGCTGAATCGAGTGGCAGCCTGGGACCTGGCACTGCCTGTGTGGGCAGGAGGCACGTGCTCCTGCCCACCTGGGCTGTTAAACACCTGAGTGCTTGCTGAACATTGGAGCTGCCCACCTGGCCTGTGCTATGAAGTGGAAACATAAAGCACATCCTTTATTTGTGTGTGATTACATGACCAGTCTTTGTTCCTTTTTAAGCCATGTGTGTGTTAATGACGAAGTGTTAGTGTACTTCCTCTGAGAGTCCTGGTGCCCCTGGGGAGCAGGGCAGGGAAGCTCTGTGCTGCCAACCACCCTGACTGAGCTTTGGGCTCTGACTGCAAAACTGTGCCTCTCTGGGGGGTTCAAGGGAGACTGATTTAGCGTCTTACCTCAGTGTCTTTGAGAGATGAAACGTGTTATGTGCTGTATCGTCAGTATTTTAAAAGCTGCTCTTCATATAACGTTTTGACAGATAATAAATACTTCATAAATATGTCAATACTTTAAATACTTCATTTCCTTTTCACGTTTTTCCACTTAATTTTTAACAAACTCAGGGCTTAACTGTTGCTAGCTCTGCAAGGAAGGGACAAGGGCAAGGCATAGCCTCACCCATTTATTTGCTCAGCTATTAACTGTGGCCCTTCTGTTTCCTCTAGATGAAAGATTGCTTCTAGCTAGTGCTTTGGGGTAACCACACTAAGTGAAATATGGAAGAGGGTGAGAACATGGATCTGATCAATTGCAGAACAGAACTGAAACAGCTCCCTTGTATTTGGAAAAAAAGCACTCTGCTTTCTGAATTTCATAGTAAATAGATCCCAGGTGAATCTGACATGTTCAGGAAATGTTTTTAGCCCATATCTTGAGATCTTTGGTTGGAACTTCTATTGCTACCTGAGAATTGTCATTCATACTTTAAAAAGTCACAGTTTGTACGTAGTTTGGGGCAGTGAAGCTGTGCTTGAGAATCTGTTCAGAGCTTTTTCCATCCTGGAAGGCAATAATGCCAAGCTGTCATACCCACTGTGGTATGAATAACATGGACAGGATGATTATTGTGGTGCCACTTGACCTTGGTTGTCACCCACGTGTTGAAAATACATACGTACAGATTATGCAGAAAGCATAAAGCTTCTATCCATTGATCACACAGAATTGCTCAATTATTGCTAAATGTCCTTTCTGTTGTCCTCAAGCTGGGTCTCATTTTCTGCCACAAACTAAGCAAACTGAGTTTTCTCTTCTGTAATTTTCTGTATGTATGCATAGCTGCAAAAAGCTTATAACAAGGGTAGAAGAAAGAACAGGTATCAGAAAAACACCTGACAGAATAAGAATTCCTGGTGTGTTCTGCCTAGCCCATCCTGCTGGAAATACTCTCCTGGAACTCACCTGTAGTCTTTATTCAGTGTCACAGCACAAGGTTTGGGATAGTGAAGCACAAAATTTGAGTGCAAAGAAAACAAATTTGCTAATAGAAATGTTTTAATTCTGGCCTTGAACAGGGCAAATTCACCCTTGCATAGGGTGAACAAGGCTTTGCACGAAACTGGCTTTTGTGATCTGTTCAAGGACACGGTACAGATGTGCAGTGGCACAGAGAGGTTGTAGCTATGTTGAAGCATAAATATATGTGTGGTAGACAAAGACCTAAATTGTCTTTGGGTGGTTGCATTTTGAAATGAAAACAGGATGAAAACATACACAGTTTACTAATACTGATATTTGTTTCAAGTGATGTTTTCAAGTGTTTTGCCATTGAGGCTGAACTTGAAGCCCTTGCTGGTTCTTATCTTGTAAAGCAAAGAATGCAAAAATTAAATTTCAGTGCTGCTTTTTCTGTGGCTCTAAAAGAGAGTAACTCGAGAGAAAGGCCAGAAGTATGCTAAAAATCTAGCAGTGGTTTCTCAAATGAAAGATTTCCTGGAATTATTATTTCCTTAATTTGGTGGGTGGGTGTGGTTTGGTGTGGCAGTGCAAAGGAATGGATAATATTAAAGGCTAAACAGCTGTATATTTTTGTAGGAAGAGTGTCTGTCAGTGAAATAAGGAATAAAGTTGTTCGTGCAGTCTAAGCAAACCAAATAAAGTCTGGTTTTTTGTTTTCTTTTTTCCTCTATGGTATGAGATTGGAAATGAGGAAGTGAGTCAGTTTCTTGCAGGGAAGGAAAGAGTTGAAAATAGATGGGACATGTTGTAAGCAAATGAGTGATACCTGTGGTGTGTTATTGGGTGGGGACAAAGGCCCCAAGATGAGAGTGGTGACAGGCACACACAGGGAAACCAGAGATCACAGAATCGTTGAATGGTTTGGGTTGGAAGGGACCTTAAAGATCATCTCGTTCCCACCCCCTGCTGTGTGCAGGGACACTTCAGTAG